TCTCTGCACAGCCTTAATTGCTTGCAGAGCTGTGGCCCCCACAATGGCCTTTAAGGCTGTTCACCTTTTATATGGTGTCTTCTGAGGGCTTTTCCTGGCTGGTGGTGGCAGTGATCTCTGTGCTGCTGGCTCTTCATCTTGGCTGAAGATTCAGCTCCCTCTGGCTTAAGCTCAATTTGTGGCAGAGTCATAGAGGAGCACTGATGGTGGAGAGAGTTAGACGAGTTAGTTGTGACACAAGGCCAGCTGGGATCTTCTTGGAACTCTCTGGGGGAAGGTTTGATGGGCAATAATGGCTCTCTAGGGTAATGAAAAGCTCTTCCCAAAATGTGTGAAGCCTGAAAGCAGAGCTGGGAGATAGAGGATGTGGTGCAGTCAGTAAACTAACTGCTGGCTGAACATTATCCTTCCTGTGCACAGCCTGCTTTGCTCCACCTTTCCCCTCTCCCTGGGCCCAAGTCTGTACCAGTCCTCTCTTTACTGATGAGAGTGTTTTCTTCCTTTTAGCAGCGGAAGAAGGGTAAAGAAGCACCCTGCTGCTCCTCCTCCTCATCCATGTCTCCTCCTGGCATCCCTAGCTCCCCATCTGATGTTCGTGTCAGCCTGGCGAGTGCCCTGGGCTCCACCAAGAAGAGCAAAGCTAAGGTGAAAGCCAAGGAGGTGAAAAAAGAGGTGAGGGGCTGGTTCTAGTCTGGAGGGTGGCTGGCAGAGTCCTGCTCTCTTCCTGGACTGTTGCAGTGTGAGGAAGGCAAAACACATGCAGGTTTTGCTGGGTGTGTTACAGGCAAAATGCTGGTTTGAGAAGCCTAAAATCCGAGGAAGACTTGATCAGGCAGTACCTGCTGCTACCATCTGGTGTTCGTTTGCCTTCATCCCTCACATTGAGTAGACAGGATTTTCTCTAAGGCTGCCACGGGGTGGAGGGAGTCTTGCATAGCAAGGACCAAGGAGGTGGTGATGGAGTTGCCTTGCTCAGCACTGAGTGAGCCAGGTCACAACTGGTTTCTGCTCCATTGCTGCAGCCTGTCTTCTCTCATAACCCACATTACTGCATCTTCTCATTGTGAGTGTAGTGTTTATGGTCTGGTGCAACAGAAAGAAATGGATTGTGGGCTTTTGAGAAGAAACAGGATCAGTGCCTGCTGCCTGTTCAGTGAAGTCAGTCTGGGGAACACTGTGCAGAGACGTGGTGAATGCAAAGCAGACCACAGCTGTCTGCTCCATAGTGTCTCTCCTAACCTCCAGGATGTGGCTGGAGGTGTGAAATGGCTTTTGGTCACTCTCAATGATGCTTGGGGTAAAGCCAGAAAAACAGAGGTCTTCGTTCAACCAAAAAGCAAGTTTGGGTACAGCCACTTAACTTGCTGTGTGATTAACATTGCTGAGGATGGAGACAAGTTTGTCCCAGTATCCTCAGGTTATTTGTTGCTGGAGGAAGGTGAGATGGGATCAGGCTGTTGCCTGTTGTCATCCAGCTGACGTGCTGCTTGCTCTCCTGCAGAACCGAGGGAAGGGAGGAGCTGTCAGCAAGCTCATGGAGAGCATGGCAGCAGAGGAGGATTTTGAACCCAACCAAGACAGCAGCTTCTCAGAGGATGAGAACATCCCACTGAGCATGCTGGTTGAGCGACCACCCACACCAGGTGAGGGGCTGGGGAGGTAATTGTGCAGGTAGAGGAGCTGTGCAGGCTTCCTAGGGCTGTTCATAGGAGGCTTGTGCTGCTTTCATACATCACTTACCCAAAGCCATGAGGCCTTGGGGTGGAGATGCCTCTTTTCCAGTCAGCTTGGCTTACCAGAAACAAGCCTTATCAGAGTAGCCCAGTGTGGCATCTAGATAAGAAACCCAGTCTCTGAGCTGCCCTATTTTCATTAACTGGTTTATTATTCTTACTAAAGTGGGGGACTTTTTGTTATTACCAAGAGGGCAAAATTTTCTGCTGCCAGGAGATAGGGAGACAGAATGAGCCCTTTCTGCAAAGGGCTTACTGGTCTTTTCCTAGGGGAGGGGAATGGAGGGAGTATGAGTTTTCCTTCTCCCCTTGCTGTTGCTTTTTCCTGTATGGTGCTCTCTAATCCCCATCTTGCTCCAACACCTCACAGCTCCCCGCTCCTGCATAATCGACAAGGATGAGCTGAAAGATGGTCTGCGTGTCCTCATCCCCATGGATGACAAGCTGCTCTATGCTGGGCATGTCAAGACTGTGCATTCACCAGACATGTGAGTTGAGGGCTTGCTGTATCCACCTGGACTCTGCCAGTGAATGGGGGCATCATTGATCGAGGGATTAATCTGGGGGTTGTGTAGAGCTGGCGGGAGAGAGACTGACAGGGCCTGGCAGTGAGGGCAGGAGAGTTCACTCTGGTTTGTCAGTGCTGAAGGAAGTCCCATTACCTCTCATTAAACGTTCTCAGTTAAAGTGGTGGTAGGGCTCAGAGGGAGGTGGTAGCTGATCAGGGTATTGTCTTCCATGTGCTGTGTCTGACGGGGCCTTTGTGTTTCAGATACCGTGTGGTGGTGGAAGGCGAGAGGGGGAACCGTCCCCACATCTACTGCCTGGAGCAGCTCTTGCAGGAAGCGGTATGTGAGGCCAAAGGGTGCCTGTGCTTGGTAATTGAGCCCTGGTTTGGGGTGCAGGAGGCTTCCGGCTGGGGCTGCAGGGATATCCTGGTTCTGCTCCCATGGCCTTGGTGTGGGTCACTGCCCGATGGCAGTGGACATTAGGCCTGTATGCCAGCAAGGGTAGTCTTTCACACTGTCCTGTGAGCAGGCAGGAGGGCATTTCCCAGCAGCAAAACTGTCCCTTTCCTTCTTCAAGCTGCTTTGCTACACACCAGGTGTGGCAGGATGGTGTGTGCTGGTGTCAGGAACGTCAGTAATTGCCTTCCTCTTACTCTGAGCAGATCATCGACGTGAAGCCTCCTTCTGTGCGATTCCTGCCTGAGGGCACGAGGATTGCAGCCTACTGGAGCCAACAGTACCGCTGCCTCTACCCAGGGACAGTTGTCCGAGGTAAGGCCACCCCGACTGCTCTGTGCTGTGAACCAGGGATGTCTCAGTCCTGTGGGATGTCAGGCTTGTCGGGCATGCCCTGAGTTCTGCTGTGAATGTCCTGGGGGTCCTATTCCTCTCCTCTGGGGCATGATGCTGGTTCAGTAACATCTTGTTGGTCCAGGAGATATGCTCTTATAGCAAGTAGCCTGAGCAGTTAAAATATCAATAGTCAACACACTTAAAGTCAGAATTAGCTTCAGGCACCAAAGTTTCTTAGGTTGTGGAGGTTTCTAAATCACCTGTACACTCATAGCTTTGCCTCTGACGCTTTCAACTCCCACATCTGGTCCCATTAAAAAGTCAGTGAAGATCCCTGAACAATTCTACCATGGTTGGTCTTGGTTTTGTGCTCCTGGTTGCACTATGCTTGTATAAAGGAAGAATTACTTACAAGTCATAAACCAGTGAAGCTCATGCAAGAAGAGATGGTGGTAACAGCTTATTTCTCTTGGAGAGAAGGGGGAAGGCAGCAGCTTGTGATTGCTGAGGGGAGTGACAAAATGCTCTCCCTAAACAGCCTAGAAAGGGTGGGGACAGGATGCTTTGGAGCTGTTGCAGGATCCCTGTCTTCCCCCATGTCCCCACTTCCCTGACAAGGGGTTTGTACTCTGTCCCTAATCCCCATCTTCTTCTCTCCCCCAACCCACAGGAGCCCTGGATCTGGAGGAGGATGGTGATCTTATCACAGTAGAGTTTGATGATGGGGACACAGGACGTATCCCCCTGTCTCACATTCGGCTTCTCCCACCTGACTACAAGATCCAGTGTGAGTCCTGCTGTTCAGTTTTTTGCATGGCATTTCCCCTCCTGTGAAATACAGAGAGTTTCATGCCATCTCCTTCTGAGATTCTAGATACCTGTTATTTGACTACATTTGCCCATCTCTGTTCCAGGTGCTGAGCCTTCCCCGGCCCTTTTGGTGCCGAGCACCAAGCGCCGTAGCCGTAAATCCAGCAAAGACACTGGAGAAGGAAAAGAGGGAGCTACACTGGGGTCAGAGGAGCCTGTATCAAAGGGCAAAGGACGAGGGAGAAAGCCAAGTGTCAAGGCGAAAGCTGGTAGGTTGTCACCACTGCCAGACTGGCCCATTCCTTGGAGTTGGGAGTCCTTGCACAGCTCCCCACAGTTCTCCCTAAGTTAGAGCTGTTCTTGGGGCAAGAGTTGGAGAGGAGTGGATGCGCTGCTTAAGTGCTGAGCATCTGTGCATCAGCTTGATCTGCTGTGGCTACAGTTTGCAGGAGGCTTGCTCAGAACCTGGCTTGCGCTATGAGAGCCTCCTGTCGGTCAACGCTGCAGAGCCCAGTCCCATTTTCAGCTGAGCATCTCAGCAGCCATCAGTTGGGCCAGAGATGCAGGAGATCTGCAGTTTGGTTCCCCCGCAGTTGAAGTAGCATCGCTGGGCATTGCCCGTCAGCTACTCGCAGGTCAGGCTGCCTAGTTGAGTGAGCAGTGAGGACCTGTGCCTCCGTGGGGATACCTAAGCAGTCAGGAACAAGCCAGCCTTGGCCAGAGACTGGTCAGCACTGGTGTCTGGTTATGTCTGAGCTAACAAAGCCCATCTGGATGCATAGCATCATGCCTTTGTGTTTCCTCCCCTCTGCAGAAGAGGCTGCCTTGCCAGAAGAGAAGGATCAGGTTGAGTCTTCACCTGTGGCCTCCTCAGTCCCCGAGCAGCCAGCCTGCTTGGGCAAGCCAAGCATGAAGGGGTCGCGAAAATCACAACCGCTGCCGACTGGAGGATCTCCTGCTCCCACAGAGGAAAAGAGGTCAAAAGCCAGCAAAATGAAGATCTCCACTAAGCTGCACAGCCCCCCCCAACCCACTTACCAGCCTGCTGTGTTTGGTAGCATCCTCACCACAGAACCCTACAGCGACCTCCCCGGGACACTGGCTGCCTTCACCTCCAGCGATGCTTCAACGTCAAAAACTAAGGCCAAGAAGGGACGGCCCACAGAAGAGACGCAGGAGTTTGCCACCATGGTCAAGGCTCAGAGAAAGCATGAGAACGAAATCCTGATCAAGCTGGACCATGAGGGTGTGATGTCTCCAAAGACAAAAAAGATGAAGGAGGCGATGAGGATGCTGGAAGACTCGTCCCTGGCCAGTCGCAGGGATGGCAAGAGTCTCTTGGGGCTGGGCTATTCCCCTGCAGTGGGTGTGGAGGGCAAGCAGAAATCTTCTCGAGCCAAAGCACCTGAGGGAGACCCTTCCCCTGCCAGCTTTGGAGGGAAGTTTGATGGCTCAGCAGAGAGCCTCACTGCTTCGAAGGACCAGGAGGAAAAGGCAGCCGCTCCAGCAGCCATGGAGGAGTCTGAGAGCAACAGCAGTGACAGCAGCTCGGAGTCAGAGGGAGAAGAGGAGACTGAGAAGAACCGAGGGGAAGCCCAGGACAGCAGCTCAACCAGCTCAAGAGCATCCACACCCCTTTCCTCCTCCAACTCCTCTTCCTCTTCCTCTTCTAGCAGCAGCTCCTCTTCCTCCTCCTCTTCTTCCTCCTCTTCAGCCTCATCAACCTCTTCTTCATCGAGCTCCAGCTCTTCCTCCTCCTCCACCACGGATGAAGATTCCTCCTGTAGCTCTGATGATGAAGTAGCTGAAGCCCAGGCAAGTTCCTCGGTGCAGCAAACCCTCCCACCCAAGCAAACCAAGCAGGCAGGGAAATCCCGTGCGTCCTCCCACCCGCAGAGCCAGAAGCAGCCGGCACAGCAGCCGGCGCAGCAGCAGAGTGGCAACAAGAGCAGGCCCAAGAAGCGTGAGGGCATCCACCTGCCCACCACCAAGGAGCTTGCCAAGCGCCAGCGCCTGCCTTCCGTGGAGAACAGGCCCAAGATCGCTGCGTTCCTCCCCGCACGGCAGCTCTGGAAGTGGTTTGGGAAACCCACACAGGTAAATGGAGCCTCTCCCGCTGCTCAACAGTGCTTGGTGCTGGTGTTTGCCTTGTGGTGCCTCTTACCTGTGCTCTTCTTCTGGGGTGGTGAAGCTCTGCTGGCATGGTGTGTGCCCAGTCGAGGTCTCCACTTTGCAAGGAGATGGCGTTGGCCTTCACCGTGTCTGAGGGAGCCATGGTGTGTCCCTCTGCCCAGTTTTTTGTGGGAATGCCTGAGGATGCTGCCAACAGTGAAGGGTGGGATGCGGGACAGGGCAAGCGGTGGTGGGTAGGGAAAACAAGGGTGGTCCCTGGTCGCTCACCTGTGTGAATCTCTCTTGGCAGAGACGAGGAATGAAAGGGAAGGCCAGGAAGCTCTTCTACAAGGCCATCGTCCGGGGCAAGGAGATCATCCGCATTGGAGACTGTGCAGTGTTCCTCTCAGCCGGCCGCCCCAACCTGCCCTACATTGGCCGCATCCAGAGCATGTGGGAGTCGTGGGGGAACAACATGGTGGTCCGGGTCAAATGGTTTTATCACCCAGAAGAAACCAACCCTGGGAAGAAGCTCAACGAAGGCAAGGTAGGCTGGTCTCCTCTGCCGCAAGCTCTGCAGAGCTGGTGGTTCCCTTTTGATTCCAAGGATGAGGAGACACCCATGGCCCAGTTACTGGTACCATAGTGGGGGTTGGCCCCATCGTTTCTTGTCTCGGGGGCTGTCTGTGGTGTGGAAGAGCCTGGTGTTTACCCCTTGAACAGGGGAAGGGTGGGCTTTATGGTGCTAAGAAAAGACTTCTGTAGGAAATAAAGACTTTTGTGTTGGTGCAGAAAGAGTAAAAGAGCGTCAAGAGCCAGATCGAGTTCTGCAGTGTAAGAATGACTGGCGTGGTGCTCAGCACACATGTACAGTGTGATTTACAGTAGGCTCTTAGTATTTATTACTAGTGGCTGGGGACAGGGGTTAAGGTTTTAAAGGCACATGTGGTGGCAGGAGGTGATGGGATGGAAAACCAACTAACTCACCTGCTTTTCGTTTCTGTTTTCTCTTCTACCTGGACACAGCGCTGGGATCAGAAATCGGGCAGGAGTCTGTCCACAGCTTTGCAGGCATCCAACCAGAGGAAGGACTTTATGGAGGTTGGTGAGGATGGGGGAAGGCTGGGAAGGGATGCTGGGGACTCTGTAACAAATCCTGCTGGGGAAATTGCCCCCTGAGCTTCTCTGGCTCTTGCTTTTTGCCTCAGCTGCGCAGTCATCAGTGCCCAGGACTTTGGATAGGTGTTTCGGGAGGGTGGGATTAGCTGCAGGTGCTGGGAGGAATGGGGGGGATGGTATCCAGCACCCATCTTTGCATTTGCATCCTTGAAGTGAGGATGACAGGCTCCTGGCCTCCATGTTCCCCTTGTGTGCTCAGCAGCCACAGCATTCCCATCAGTGGGAGCTTGAGTGGAAGCAAGGGCTCAGATTTAGTATGCTGGATGGATTGTGTCCATGCTATCTGTGGGACTGTGCAGATTCCTAATATTCCTCCCTGGGGCTGGGAGTGGGGATGAACAGGGAGTTCTGCTTGAGCGTGAGCATAATTCCCAGCCAGTTGCAATGGATGTTTTCCCTGCATGTTGAAGATAATGCTGTGAATGCTCTGAGATCTAATTGCTGCTTTTCTTTCCATCTCCCTCCTTCCTGCAACGCAGCGAGCTCTCTACCAGTCCTCTCACGTGGATGAAAACGATGTCCAGACCATCTCACACAAGTGTCTTGTTGTTGGTCTGGATCAATACGAGCAGATGCTAAAGACAAAGAAATACCAAGACAGTGAGGACCTCTACTACCTTGCAGGGACCTACGAGCCCACTACGGGCATGATCTTCAACACCGACGGGGTCCCCGTCATCTGCTGACCGCCCAGGGGACACGTGCCACCCCCTGGAAAGGGACGGGACAAACCTGAGGACGTGCCTGTTCAGACGACATGATTGTTTCTTTCAATGCTCATGAATTCTGTGTCACACTACAGACAGGAGAGCGCAAGAGACACGAGGAGGAAGGAGAGGGCTGAAGGAAAGGGGTTGGGGAAGCAGTTTCAGGACTTGAGGAAGATGCTGTTGGGAGGTGGTGGTGCTTGAACCCCAAGGCTCTTCTGGAAGTGGCTTTAAGTAAGGTGACACTTGACCAACTTCTCCCTTCCTCCTTTTGGTCCAGGAAAGCACATGGGTCTCGTGATCATTTCACCAGCGGGACCCCCCGGGCAGGAGGGATCCCTTTTGTGTCATTTACCCCCATCAGTAGCTCGGAAGCCGCCTGTACGTGGAAGGACACCTGGTAGCCTTCTGCGGACCTTAGTTCCGCATGATCCTTTAGGAAGGACAGGGTGAAAGAGAAAGGAGATGAGTCTCTCTCAGCGCCTCGTCTCGACCCTCTCGGCGCCTTTTTGCAGTTCCCTTCCCCTGGAGGCCCCAGCAATGTGGAGCACGAAGGGGCAGAGCAGAGCTGGCCCCAGCATAGAGATGGCAGAAGAGGTCTCCGGGCTGGGAAGACAAGCCAACATCCAGTCTGGGATGCTGCCTTCCCACTGCCTCGAACAAATGGTCTGAACCCACTTTCCCTGTCCCTCTGTGTCCCTCCTGCCCTGGAAAGGCACTGGGGGAGCAGGCGCATGGAGAGGGGGTGACACTTGATGAACAAAGAGCTTGTCTTGGAGTGTGCAGTGAAGGGGGGGGTGTGGAAAAAATCACTGGGAAAAGCTGCTGCTTGGTGCTTGGAGTGCAGAAGACAACTGGATTTTGGCATCCCTCGCCCAGCTTTATGCCCCATGCTTTGCCTGAGCAGAGGTGTAGAGCTGCTGGGAAGCCCTCGCCCACCATTTGAAGGGAATGAGGGTAGAGTGTGACCGTCCCCACCTGCACCATTTCCACAGCCAGAGCCCCACTGCCACCCCGGGCTCAGGATGGGACCATCCAGCTCACTCCATCCAGCCGTCCAACCTCCCCACAGCTCCAGGAGAACCACCACCACCATCACCTCTGCGGAGCTGACCCGCTGCCTCGCTCCCGCTGGGCACGTACCGGACCTTTGGCATCACCAGGGTTGGGACAACCGGAGGAGAACACCGCAACGATGGAACATCCTTGCACTTAAAAACACAACTCCAAGAGACGCACTGATCTTTGCAACCACCGACTCGCACTACAGATTGCCAGGACGCGGAGCGGGGCCCGGCCCAGGCTCCGGTGGGGAGACGTTTAAGACAAGGACAGATGGAAAACTCTCCACCCTGGTACTGGAGACTGGAGGCCGGGACTCGGCGGGGAGAGGGCCACCCCTGCAATGTTACCGCTCGTCCTTAAAACAAACCACATGGTGCTGAGCTCGTACCATCTCCACCCCGGGCCACCGGCGCCGTGGCGCATAG